GTGTGTGTGTGTGTGTGTGTGTGTGTGTGTGTGTGTGTGAGACTCACAGCTGGAGGTTCCTATTACATGATCTCTCGCTCCCTGGGGCCCGAGTTCGGTGGAGCCGTGGGGATCTGCTTCTACCTGGGAACCACTTTTGCTGGAGCCATGTACATCCTGGGTTGTATTGAAATTCTACTAGTGAGTGACTTTAAATGTCTAATATATTTAGGGGCATGGATTATAAATATTTCTTATAACTGGCACTCATATGTTTGTTCAAATTCAGTTTTAAAATAAACTCCATTGCCTCTGCTCTATGTGAGATGGTGAACTCGGAGTCTGATTGATACCAGTCATTGAGGCATGGTGCTGGATGAAAAGGGACAAGAGCCGTTGTAAGACTTTAATACCTGTGTCCAAATGGCAGCCGCAGATGTGGGATTCTGTGATTGTTGGTGCACGATGCACCAATAATCTCTTGGTGTAATCTGTCTTGGGTGACCAAAATCTAAATGATGTAAACAGCTAAAATGATGCCCCGTGTACCCACTGGCTCCAGCATCAGGTCAATGCAACATCGCATACAAACCCACATTGTGAACCTGTTCAAATTCCAACAACAAACAACTAATACTACTGCTGTGTCTTAGTTCAGTACTGATACTGGAGCTAAACCCAAATTATTTATGCTTTGTGTTTATTTACTTGTAAGCAGCGCGTGGTCACACAAACATATGTCTTCTGTAGACTAGATCGTCTTATTTCACAGCCATTTATGCAGCTGACACGATGGTCTATGTTGGCTGCAACCCATGAATTGGGATTCTCCACAAGTATAAGGCACCTTTACCTTCTGTGACCATTCATTGCCAAGAGTTGCATGCTCTGGCAACAGCTTTATAACACTGTAGCTCCACTCGTGTTCCCAACATGATTGTTGTCTTGTGCTCATTCCACATGCTTCAGCCTCTTGCAGGACAAATTATATCCAAACAGCACAATTACATATGTTAAACTTTGTCAGTGAGTGTCCAAATATTTTAAATAGTGTTCATTCATGTGAACACATCAAGTCTTTTTGTGTGAATGCCACTGAGACGATCAGTTTTTCTTCTGTAAGATTTTTGACATTGAAGCTCTCTTCTGTCTAGAACCTTCACCCATTATGTCCTGCACTCTCAGGACATCATTTTGATTTTGATGCAGGTCCCAAAGGTCAGAAATGAATTGGGTAAAGAAGGCTTTTAGATTTTCTGCTCCTGCCACCTGGAATAACATGCAGAAGGATTTAAAGTTATCGTCTCTTGTTACCTTGAGGAAATTCTAATCAGTGTTTAAGGACAGAGGAAACAGATCTCTTGGCTCCTGTAACTGCCCTCATGTTTAGTTGTGTGATGCCTCTTGGTTTTGTGTATCTGGTCTTGTACTTTGGATTTGTTGTTTTATGCTGCTGCTCTGGCCAGGTCACTGTTGGAAAAGAGTTCTTTAATCTCAATGAGTTATTTTCCTGGTTAAATAAAGGATACTAATACTACTGCTACAATTTTTGTGACATTTGAACAATTCTTATGAACACTTTTAGCTCTTTTATGCCATGGGTGCCATGACTTGGTATTTCAGCAATTTAGTTTTTTTTTTCAGCTATTTAACTTTTTCATTTTTTCTGTCATTGAAAATGTCGTCAACATCCTTAAAATATTTCTGAATGTTTATAAATCTTTACAGCACTTTTCAGCTTTTGTTCTGATTGTGCTTCTCTCAACTTTTTTTGCTAATTTGTAATTATTTTTCTGCTTTTTCAACTGTTTTTCTGCTCTTCTTATGTTAATTAAAAAATAGGCATCTATCAGCTGTTTTCTGCTAATTTCAGCTGTTTTCTGCCTCTTTAGCTACTAAATCTGAATTAATCTTTTTGTGATAATTTCAGCTTCTTACTGCTTAATTCAGCAAATACGTTCTTCCTGTGCCTTTGAATTAATTTCAGCTTTTTCAGCTACATTTTAGCAATATTTCTAATAATTCACTTTTAATACCCCCCGCCCCCCTCCCTACACTGGTACCCTCCTTGTCCTCTCGTTCAGATCTATATCATCCCACAGGCGGCCATCTTTAAAATTGAAGGCCTGGAGGGCCCAGAGGCGGAGATTGCACTGCTCAACAACATGCGCGTTTACGGCACGATTGTTTTGAGCTTCATGTCACTGGTTGTGTTCGTCGGGGTCAAATATGTCAACAAGTTGGCGCTGGTTTTTCTGGCCTGCGTTATCCTCTCCATCCTGGCTGTTTACGCTGGGATCATTAAAACCGCCATGGAACCTCCTGTCTTTCCGTAAGTGTTTCTAACCTGTCTCAGATGACGTCAGGTCACGGCACACGGTGACGATTTGTTTTGTCGACTTGCTTTGCAGCGTCTGTCTCCTCGGCAATCGTACCCTTGTATCTAAAGCGTATGACGTCTGTGCAAAGGTCGTTGAAATAGATAATGAGACCATCACCACCAGATTGTGGAGGTCCTTTTGTGATTCTGACTCCCTCAATGCTACGTGTGATGAGTACTTCACCAACAACAACGTCACAGAGATTCAAGGCATCCCAGGGGTGACCAGTGGGATCCTGGCAGGTCAGTTTACAATTTAAATGACTTTCTGACACCAACCACAGTGTAGTTCATCAAATAAAACCTGCATTTTAGAGGAGCTTCTTCTCTTTTTCTCTCAGAAAACCTGTTTGGTAACTATCTGAAAAAGGGGATGACCGTGGAGAAGCGCGGCCTGGCATCCAATGTTGATCCTGACAGTACCCCATCGAACACAAACCGCTACGTCCTGGCTGATATCACCAGCTTCTTCACCCTGCTGGTTGGGATTTACTTCCCGTCTGTCACAGGTGAGTCCCACAGGAACGTTACAAATGAGTACATCTCCTGGTTGGACTTGGTTATCAAGAACAAACCATTTGAACATTTGCTTTCCTCATGTAAAGTCAGTATCAATCTGAGGACACAGATAAAAAAACATGAGTTTAGTTTAGGAAGAAAGAGAGACACTTACATATTAAAAGGACCATTTGGCTGGAGAATTTGAGAAGACATCCAGAGGACATCACATGAAGAAAAGCATGCTTAGAGAGTTTTTTTTTAATGTTTAAGTTTTCTTCCTTGATGTTCACTACTTTAGAGCAAGTTTTGTTGAAGATGTCCAGATGCCCATTATAATGACTTTAAACATTAAGATCTTATCTTTTAAATGATCCAGTCCGACAATTAACAATTAGCCATTAAGCTCATGACTGTTATTATTCTCACTGTCAAGTGTTGGATAACACTGGTTAGAAGTCTTTTGGAGAAAATTCCTTCTCTCACGTAAGAGTCATCATCGTCATCCAACTTAAAGGGATCCATGATTAGTTTTAACATTAGACTTTATTTGATAAACATATATTTTAACTGTAAAATAAAGATTGTAAAAATACTGTACGATGTTTAGTTTTGTAAATTTTTAAAAATATATTTTAACATGGACAGACCCATTTTATTTACACCCAAAACATTCTGGGTAAATGATGACGTGGATAGGTCCTTGGTGTGAGCAAGCTATAGCCACCCTGAAGGTTAATCTTGGACAATATCTGACAATCGACTCTTTTAAATGAAACCAGAGAGCGTTGACAGAGAGGAGAAGGTGGAAATGACTCAGCCTGTAACTGAAAATGTGGATGGAGGACAACAGAGCTGCTTCATGGAAGAAGAACCTCAGCTTAGCCTGTTAGCCTTTGCGCTAGCGCTGATGCTATATTGCCATATATGTATTAACTCAGCACTAGCGTGACAAACAAGCTAAACTGAGGTCCTCCATCTATATTTTCATTTACAGGCTGAGTCATTTCTACCTTCTCCTCTCTGTCAACGCTCTCTGGTTTCATTTAAAAGAGCCAATCATCAGATATTGTCCAAGATTAACCTTCAGGGTGGATATAGCTCGTTAGCAGCCTCGCACCGAGAACCTATCCACGTCATCATCTTCCCAGAATGCTTTGCGTGTAAATAAAATGGCCCCGTCCGTGTAATGTATTTTTAAACTTTTAGTTTAAAAATTATAAAAACTAAACAGCCTACAGTATTTTTACAGTCTTTATTTTACAGTTAAAATATGTGTTTATCAAATAAAGTCTAATGTTACAACTGATCTGGGATCCCTTTAACATTTTAATCTCAAATTACAGCTCCAATCTGACTTCAGCAAATGAGTTTCTTCAGAATATTATCTTACTAGTTGTTCAAAAAACCAAAACCTTTTTAAGACAAAGTCAAATAGAACCGTCAGGTGAATTTTACAAAGTACTGACATCGCCCACTCTTCTCTCTAGTGTTAAAGTTAAAGGTTGCTCACTTGTTTGATACTGCTGTACTAAAATCTTGGCAGTAAAGCTCTTTTTGACTGTAAGATTAGTCAAAGGCAGTACTGAAGCTTCATACTTGTTTTATCCATTAAACATAGCACTGTCTTATTATTGAAAAGTCACTGCAAAGCCTTTAGTTGTGTATCATCTTTTTGTGATACTGGTAAGAAGAATACTAAGGCGAGACAAACTTATTCATCATCCTGGTTTTTTCTTTCCCTCTAAGGTATCATGGCTGGCTCTAACCGCTCTGGCGACCTGCGAGATGCTCAGAAGTCCATTCCCATTGGCACCATTGCAGCCATCACTACAACGTCCACTGTGTGTATCCTTCACTGCCCTACAGCTGATTTAAAACAACAAAAACAGGATCCTAAAGTGCCAACTGATCCTGTTAATGGTAGCAACTCTTCTTAATAGTATGTTCCTTAATTGATTTTACAGACATGTCATGTGTGGTGCTGTTTGGTGCTTGTATAGAAGGAGTGGTGCTGCGAGACAAGTAAATCTGATTGTTTCAGTGTTGAGATCTTTTTAAATTTAAGATTAGTCTTTTAGTGTGACTGAATGGTCCACACTTATAGTATCTTTATAGCCTCTCCAGGTTCTACAAAGTGCCATGCAATGTTTCTCTTTCATACACACTCAGACAGCCCTAATGTATTTACTTATATTAGAAAAATGGGCAATTGCAGTGACCAATCAAAAGGAAAAAAAAATTGTATAGGTCCTCTGGACGGGTTCTTCTTTAATGAAACGTTTCGTCTCTCTTCCAAGAGACGAGAGACAAAACGTTTCATTAAAGAAGAACCCGTCCAGAGGACCTATACAATTTTTTTTTTCCTTTTGATTTTTTACCTGGATTACTGAGATGCATCAGGACATGCAGTGACCAATAAAACAAACCTGTATTAAAAGTTGAATAAGCCAAGTAATTTGGGTGAACTGTGCTGGTATTATGAAATGTTGGTTTGATTACAACATACCTATCTAAAGCAGTTTAAAAGAAGTATAAACAGAAATGGGTGAAATACCCCTTCTGGGTTGGTTTTAGTCTTTGCCTCAGGTAGAGGATCTAAGTGTCTGTATGTCATGTTCATGACTGATGAATGGAGCGAGAGTTGGGTCGATGAATCAGGGTCTTGTCATAAGAAATTAGGGCGTTGCTTCCGTTGGTCGTGTTGAGGAAAGAGTGGACTCAAAAGGCAAAGCTTTGGATATTGATTGATTGATTTGATTGATGATGCCTTTATTGTCATTGCACGGAGCACAATGAAATATATGGATGGATATACTGGTCTGTTCATGTTACAGCCTTCATGCTGGGTGGTGAGGTGTGAAAAATTACTGAAAGAACACATCCTGAATACAAACAGCTGAAATGAGCTTCCTTTGTGGGGTAAGTTGGGCTCAGCCCAAACAGGGTGAGCCCAATCTGGGGTGAGCTTGTAGAACTACTGCTATTTTGCATTAAAATAAGTCAGTTGAGGTGGTTCAGGCATCTGATTGGGAAGGTTTTCATGTCCCTCAGCAAGAGGCACCAAGGCAGACTCAGAACTCACTGGAGGGGTTATAATTTTTCTCTCTGGCCTGGGAAGGCCTTGAGGCCCTCCAGGTAGACCTTGGAAGCGTCACATGTGCTGTCTCTGCAACCTGACTATGGATAAGCGGTTAAAGGTTACTGAAATTATCTCCTGAGTTATCTTGTTCACCACTATCTTCTAACACATCTCGGTGTGTGCTTCAGGGAGGGAAATTTTAAAGGGGCAATATTATGTGTTTCTCAGGCATACATTTAAATACTATACCAAAATAAAGTATCTATGTCACCTTTAGCTGTTATTAAAATGCTGTTTTTTGTGTTTAAATAGAAAATAAACTTATCTTCTCATCACTTCCTCTTCTAAACGCCTTGAAATTGGCCTCTGTCTTTTTAAGAACCACCTTCCACTTCTGTCTCACCCATTTCAGTACGTGGTGGGGCTGCTATGATGCAGTTTACTTGGCATCTGAAAATACATTTCCTCAAAGGTATTTTTAATCTGAAAAGAGCTTCACTGAGTGAGTAGTAGTTAGGAGCTCAGCAGACAGTTTCAGTTTCACTTTCAGTTTCACCCGAGAGCCTGCAGGAGTCATGGGCGGGGTGTGTGGGGTGTGTGGGGAGGAGGGGGTGCCGCCATGAGGAAATTTGGCTTAAAGACACGTCCCAGGGGCGTTTCTGGTCCCCAAAGGCGTTTCTGGTCCCCACCTGTCGTTTTGCTCCTCAGCATGGCTGCCTAAAAACACTGCAGGATTTCTCAAACATGCATGAATGAGTCAGAGCAAGGCTTTGGGCATGTTTTTATGAGAGTATAACATTATAACATGATATAAAACTCAAAAAAGTTGATTTTACATGATATTGCCCCTTTAAAGTTTACAATGCTCAGTATTAAGTTCAGTAAAAAAAAACCTCAAAGATGTAAAAAGCAAAGCATGTTGTATATCTTAAATGAGAAATGTGGGCACACTCCTTTTTCTTCAGGTTTGGTGAGGGGGTTAATGGTAACCTGGTGATTGGTACTTTGGCGTGGCCGTCTCCGTGGGTCATTGTATTTGGCTCCTTCTTCTCCACCTGCGGCGCAGGACTTCAGAGTCTGACAGGAGCTCCACGGCTACTTCAGGCCATCTCCAGAGACGGCATCATCCCCTTTCTTCGAGTGAGTTTGTGCAGCGTTCACACACACAACTGTTATTGTCAAAATGTCTCAAGAGTCACATTAACAATCCTAAAATTAGTTGGGGTTTGTTTTTTTATGTGAAACAAACATTAAAATCTTGCTGCGTGTGTGTCGTACATTTGTTGGATACTTTTGTGTGGTTGCAGGTTTTTGGACACGGTAAAGCCAACGGGGAGCCCACCTGGGCTCTCCTGCTCACAGCGAGCATCTGTGAGATTGGCATCATCATCGCCTCCTTGGATTCAGTCGCCCCCATCCTCTCCATGTAAGAACGCCCGAGTTTATACACATTGCACCAGTCCACCATCTTATTTGTCCAATGTGTCTCTGACCTTGTTTCAGGTTTTTCCTGATGTGCTACATGTTTGTTAACCTTGCCTGCGCGCTGCAGACTCTGCTGAGGACGCCAAACTGGAGGCCGCGCTTTAAGTTTTATCACTGGTGAGTTTGAACTTTTACCCTGACTTTCTAGACGTGCAGGATGAAGTGTTTAAAGCGATGCGTGTATGAGCAATAACATCCACTCAACATATTTTTTATGGCCACTGCAAAAACGTTGCCAATGAAGTTGTTGGTTGTGTCTGTGTGTTCATATGTTCCTTTGCCTGTCATCTTAGCAAAATATCTCCCAAAGCACTGAATTACAAAGGCCTCCAAAGTAAAGTGACTTTGCAAAACATAAAAACTAAATGAGTGTCAAAAGAAATTCTCATTATTTGTTTTATGCATTATAATCATTATTAATAATCATTTTTAACTGTTTAGATTAAACGTTATACTGAAAAGTACATTCTGACCTGACCTAAAATATTGTAATCATTTAACTGTATAAAGACAACAGAAAGATGGGTTTATTTACAGATATACCAGAACGACTCTCTGATAGGGTTCGAGGTTATTTCAGATATGGGAGACTGTGTATAAAACAGTTTGTTTTCTTTTCATCTGCAGGAAAGCTGAAACCTTAAGCAAGAAATTGCAATGCTTGATTTTTTTATTTTTTATTTTTACAGATATTGAGTTAAAGAGTCATCCTCAACTCTCTGTGAGGTTGAACACTTTATTTTCAAGATTTGACCAAAATGTGGATATTTTTGAATTGTGTTTATTAGTTATTTTAACATGTTTGTTGTAAACAACAAGGTGTGCTTAGCCCTGCTAGCCCACTACCATCCCTGCTTACTTTACTAAAATAACAAAAAGATTTGGCAAATGACTGAGATACAGAACAGAAGATTTTTTGCTAAAAAATTGAGCTAATTTTATTTAAATTATATCATATTTAAAATTGGAGCAAAATACTTGCATTTTAAAGTGTTTTTTTTTCTCTTGGTACATGCTGCATTTTTAGCATTTGAAACAAACAGGAGGCCACTCTGAAAATGTTACCACCCGAGTCATTTAGGCCTCCTGGGGCCAGTTTGTCTGCCCTCCTGCTTGAGATCTGTAGTGTTTTCGCTCCTTCAGACGCTGACGCTTTCATCTGGTTGAGGTCCCAGATAACCCAACATGTGATGTCCTGTCACCCACAGGGCTCTGTCTTTCCTGGGCATGAGCCTGTGTCTGTCGCTCATGTTCATCTGTTCCTGGTATTACGCCATCGTCGCCATGGGCATCGCCACCTGCATCTACAAATATATCGAGTTCTGTGGGTATGTATTCATCTCGACACATAACGTTTATTTTTATCAGCCCGTTCAGCTAACTAAATGCGTGCTGTGAAACAGAGCTGAGAAAGAGTGGGGCGATGGCATACGAGGCCTTTCGCTCAGCGCTGCACGATTTGCTCTGATGAGGCTGGAGGAGGGACCGCCACACACCAAGAACTGGAGGTCAGCTTAGTTCAGAGTTTAGGATTTGTATTTAGACATTCAGTACACTGTCAAATATATTTACTGAATAGCATCTGGGTCTTTTACTCTTTGGTTTTATACCTGTAGGCCTCAGATCCTGGTTCTGGTGAGCGTGGATGCTGAGCAGAAGGTGGAGCAGCCCCGTCTGCTCTCCCTGACCAGTCAGCTGAAAGCAGGCAAGGGTCTCACCATTGTTGGTACCTCTGTTCAGGGATCCTTCCTCAGCAATTACACTGAAGCCCAGATGGCAGATCAGGTACGAAGCCTCAATTTAGTCCCTTCCTCTCCTGCTGCTCCACCAGCTATGTACGGTAATTATTAGGGCTGTCAAATGATTCATATGTTTAATCTGATTAATCCCAAAGTGGCTGTGAATTAATCATGATTAATCTTAAATTTAATATACATTTCTATTGCATATTGATAAAATAAATTACTTGAGTTATTGATTAGTTTTTAATGTTTTTATTTAGAAAACAAAACTGATGCTTAGACATGATTGTTTGAATATAAAACAGGACCTAAAAATGCTCCAAACATATTTGAGTCAGTTGAATTTTGTGCAGAATAATGATTAAATCAAGAATTCAAGGATTTTCATTCCAAATGAGTACTACATGAGGAATGAATGATGGATACTAAGGTCACAGCTGTCAGCAAAACATAAATAAATAAAATAAAATAAGCCATAAGAAGACAAAAAAGAAAAAAACTGTACATAATGTGTTACACATGGAGTTTTTTATTTTATTTTATTTTATTTAACCTTTATTTATCCAGGTAAACTGTTTGAGAACCACTACTCATTTACAAACATGACCAGGCATGCACTGAGTGCACTGCAATATACAAACCTACATATTCAGCCATAGTAAAGTGATTGTAAGTTTTAATCGCGATTAAAATTTTTAATCTATGCTCATGTAACACTAAAATTAATCAGAGTTAACTCATAGCCCTAGTAATTATTCCAGTTTTTGTCTGCAGTCTTTGCGGAAGCTGATGGAGACAGAGAAGGTAAAAGGTTTCTCTCAGGTGGTCCTCTCCTCCAACCTGAGAGACGGGACGTCCCACCTGGTCCAAACTGGAGGACTTGGCGGTCTAAAGCACAACACCGTAATGGTCAGCTGGCCCCACAACTGGAAACAGCCTGAGTGCTACCAGCATTTTAGGAACTTTATTGGTAAGGTGATGGATGACAAAGATAAATATCTAGGGAGCTTATTATTTCCAGCAGCCTTAACGAGGACGTTTAAGTCTCTCTGTCATTAAATACAGTTTAACAAATGTTCCAGGCAAAATTCATATTATTATTAACTTTAAGATGTGCGGTTTAGATTCATATCTAAAGAAAGCTAAGCAGAATGCACCATTCAAGAATATGTTACGGTAATGAGTTCTAATTAAACTTGTTTTAAGCCACTGAGTCTAGCAAGATGATCTGTGGATGTTGTTGCATATAATAAATACCGTGTAGGTCTGAAAAACATCAAAGGTGTGGGATTATTTGAGCTGATTACGGGCCAAACACAACACGTTGTCTTGTTGTTCTGCATGTATCGACTGAAAATGATTAAATGTCTCTTTTTCCTCTCTATTTTCAGAGGTGGTGAGAGAAACTACTATAGCCAGTTTGGCCTTATTGGTCCCCAAGAACATTTCCAGTTATCCATCCAACGGAGAGCGCTTCACTGAAGGCCATATAGACGTGTGGTGGATCGTCCACGATGGAGGCATGTTGATGCTGCTGCCTTTCCTTCTGCGTCAGCATAAGGTGGGCAACCAGACGGTGTGGGTGGGGTACGTCTGAGACGGTGGGTTAAAAACAGTCCATTAAAAAAATTAATAAAGAAGTGTTTTCGAGGAATGGAGCAGTCTTCAAGGTTTATGAAGGTTTTTGTTTTGCGTCACAGGTGTGGAGGAAGTGCAAGATGCGCATTTTCACCGTCGCACAAATGGACGACAACAGCATCCAGATGAAGAAAGACCTCATCACCTTCCTGTATCACCTGCGCATCGATGCCGCTGTGGAGGTGGTGGAGATGGTACGAGATGCGTCTGCCACAAGTTCAACACTCCAACATTAAAGCACGGCTTCATCCATAGACCTTTAACTCGACATAACATACTGTATATTTTAGGACTAAGCAGCTAAAAATGTGTTTTGGTCTTTAAGCACGACAGCGACATCTCGGCTTACACCTACGAGAAGACGCTGATCATGGAGCAACGATCGCAGATCCTCAAGCAGATGCACCTGACTAAGAATGAGATGGAGCGAGAGGTAACTCTGACTTTTATTTTTTAGCATTTTTGTCGAGAAGCTGATTCACGAGAAGCTTGTGACTGTACTAAAAAGAAGCAGCAACTCCAAAGGGAAATTAGACATCAAATTAACTTTCTCCTTCTATTTTTACAGATCCAGAGTATTACAGATTCATCCCGTGGGTCCATCCGTCGTAAAAATCCGCACACTTTGCGCCCCCAGCACAGCGCAGAGGGAGGCAGCCTTGTAGAGAAAACAGACGATAGGGTAAATACCTTTTGTGCCTCTGTTTTTAAAGTTCCTACTGTCTCTAAAGCAGCAGAGTTTTCCCCCTTCTTATTTAAGTTGAACGCTGATTTCTGTCTGCTTCCCTGAGGTCCGTCTTTTGCTGACAGGTCTCTCTTTTCGCCCTATCACCCCCACCGCACATCACATGTTTGTCTCTCAGTCTGAGGCTGTCTCCGACCCAAAACAGGTCCAGCTGATCCACAACAGGAACGCCTCCAAGCCCACGGGATCACCTGCTGCCACCTCTGCAGGAGGCGCCGCCACCTGGACAGATGGCAAAAGCACGGAGAAGGGGAAAATCCTTTCAGCGAGGACGCCAGAGGGAGGAAGAGACCATCTTAGCATGAAGCCGTGAGTCAGCCAACATCTGCGAGCGAACCCAGAAACATGCCACAGCTGGACACGTTTAGGCCTTAAAAACATTGGTCCTGCAGAGCGACGTGCTGATATGAAGAATAAATCTGGACTTAGCACATCTGCTTTCAGGTGTGGTTTGAGATGAGCGGAGGTTCGAACAAAACATGAAAGTGTTGTTTTTATCGAACATTTGCACTGCTAGTAAAAAGCAGCAGAGATGTGTTGCGTGGATTCTAAATGCATTTCTCTCTATTTTATTTTTTATTCAAAATTGTTCAGCATAGTTCAGGCCGAGGTAGCTCGGTGGTCTCATTATTCTGAGGTGGTGGGTTGGAGCCCAGGTTGAGTCAGGAAGGCCGTACGGCGTAAAACAATTGCCAAATCTTTTATGCAAGTTTGCTCGTTGTTGTGACTCCTTCAGAAGGGAGCGGCCTAAAGAACAGCAACAACAACACTGTGTGTAGTTTACAAGCACACAACTTGCATTTACATCCATCACCCACCAACGAAAGGCATGCATGTTGTCAAAAAATCCCGCATAGCAAAATTTGTCTGGCCCAGTTTTGACTCACTAACATTCAACTCAGATACCTCAAACAATGACTTCCCTTTGGTGGTCCAGATGTGTTTTGTCAGAGGTGGTCCATGTATGAGCAAGCTCCTCATACACCAACCTACCAGGCCAGTGGTGGCATGCCATCTTAAAAACAGAGCCATCATTTCCAGACCTGGCCCACATCTGGCTCACAAACCACATGTCATGCCAGCAGTCAGTCAGCAGTGACACCAGATCTGGCCCACACCTGTCTGCTATGTGGAATCTCATGAACCACTTGACAGACTTTAAAACAAATTTCAGCTGTTAAAAGTCCAGCTGATTCAACATGACCACCACACTCTGCTGACATAAGGAAACACAAAAACCAAGCTCACTCAGTCAAATAGTACGCTTAATATTTGTTGTGGTAGTGGCAACGTATGCTTTGAGTGTCAACATATTTTGCAAAATGTCCTAAAGTTCCGTGAGATTGTGCGTAATGTTGTTTTCAATGTTTGACCAAAACAACCATAAGTTTGTCTTTTCTCAACTTTTTGAGTTTGATTTAAAATTCTAATATGAAAGGCAGCTGGAAGTTTGTATGCCTTTCAGGTGAATTTATGCCATGTTACTGAAAATAAATCAACAAATCATCAACAGATGCACCTTCACATTGTTTTTATTTTATTCCAATCATGCTGCAGTGAATGGGAGAACTTGTAAGTATGAATGTTTTGTAATTTTGTCTGGGTTTTTTTTTCAGCAGCTAAAATGCAGCTTTACAAAGCGAACAGGTCAAAACTGAACATTTTCTTTAACCTTACAGAAGCCAGGTCGATGTGAGGCGCATGCACACAGCAATGCGGCTCAATGAGGTCATCACCAAGAAATCCAAGGAGGCCAAACTCATCTTGCTCAACATGCCGGGACCACCGAAGAACAGAGTGGGCGACGAAAACTGTATCCTTGAATGAAAAGATGAAAAGCGTTTTGAGCAATGAGATTTTGGGAAATGGTTTTGACCCGAAGGCAGCAGGAGGTTAAACTGCTGTTTCCATCCTTCACTCTGGACGTCTCTCAGATATGGAGTTCCTCGAGGTGCTGACCGAAGGTCTCAACAGGGTTCTCCTCGTACGTGGAGGAGGCCGAGAAGTCATCACCATCTACTCCTGAGAGAGTTTTATTTATCAGAATCTACAGAAACTCTGCCTGCCTCTCCCCTCGTCCTGTAATCCCACCCCCAACCACCCCGCCTCACTCAGACTGCAGGGTTTTCCAGTGACGTGGACTCATGTTGACCCAGCTGTAACCTTTGAACCAGCAGAGCTCAGTCAACTCTCCCTCCCAGACTCTGTGGCCGACAGCAGAAGATGAGGTTTTTTCTGTTTTATTACGTCTTAAATAGACTTTTAGCTTTTTGTTTTTTTTCCTTCTGGTTTTGCCTTTTTTTTCCCTCGGTTTCTTCTTCATCAATTTTATGTTTTTCCAATGTTTTATGTCAGTGTTGTTTGTGTTTGATCCTCTTTACTTGTTTTTGTTTGTTTGTTTTAATAAGGTTAAAAGCACAAAAAGAATACCAGAGGATTATTGGTTTAAAAAAAGTGTATTTTTTTTATCGAACCTGTCTGATGGTATTAGGCAACTGAATTGTGACATACATTTTATCCTTCAATTGTGATTTTTTTTGTGTGTGTGTGTGTGTGTGTGAAAATGAAAATTAGAAAATGTCATGTAAACAATTCCATCTAAAATTAAAACTAGCATTCCTTAAATAAAAGCCTTTTATCACACTGATGTTAAAGTTTTGAGCGTCGATGTGACAAAAGGCAGGAAGTAAAATATAATTTGTACACAGAAATTCAAAAAATTTAATTTATCTTTAGGGACTTTTATTTCAGATTTCTTTAAATGTACTGTTTTTACAGGGAAGTGCTTGGGAATGAATTGGCTCGGCTCTTCTTTTATTTGCTTACTTTACACGTTTTTTTTGTGCGAATCAATATCTCTGACATATCGACTGGAATCATCCCACCGAGTCCAAAGGTTCTCATCTGTTATACCTGTTTGAGTTCACTCACAGCCACAAACATCTTCTAAACTCTACTGACCAAGTGCAGTTTGTCTTGATACAAGTCTTACGTTTTAAGATGGCTTTATTAATCAGAAATAAAGGTTTAGTGAGTGTGAATGTGTTTCAGTAGATGTAAGGCCCTTTAGTATTGTTAAAAATGAGAAAACACACAATATATTTTTTTTATTACAATTGTTTTTCTGCATACGCATGACTTAAGGCATTAGATTACTGCTCAAGTTGGCCAAATAAGGCAAAAATAATAATACTTTTTGGTAAAATTGTGAATTCTAAAAGTACAGAGTGAGCCAAAAGATACATGACTCTTACTTTGGATCCAATGTGGCAGCTTTCAAGATGGCACCCATGTTCTGGACATAGCCTAAACGATAAGCCCCATCACCCATTACTTGCTGGAATAATTAGGTGTCTTTTTCTCCTTTTCTTTTCTCCTTTGTTCTGAAACAATATGGTGTCCTGAGACTTGTGACTCACTTTCTTTGGCTTTTAGACTTTGCTATAACTAAAGCAAAACCATTATTTCTCTAAAGGTTTCAACTATTGACTGTTGCAAATGTGGCAAAACTTCATTTCCCCTAATTTATCTTTTTCCCTTATGTACAAATGAAGGTGTGAAGAAATCATTTGACATTTCTGAACAAAATGTAATAAAATCTAAATCTTTTTAATACAACAATTATACATATTTGTAATTTTTTCTGATAGTTTTTACTTCAATTGTTTAGTTTGACATTGAAGTGGATGGGATGCCTTTGTACAAACTCACTCCCTTAGTAATATTTAACTGTGAATACAGTCAGACTAATCTTCACATTCAGATTTAATGTAGGCTAAGCTGAACTTCTGGAAAAATCCACCGCTGTTGTTTATTTGCAGATAAATCTTTTAAACAAAACCTTAGAAAAAAAGGAAAAACACTGAGTACAGTTGCATACTACTAGTCTGACTGTTGTCAAACAAATGTACATTTGGGTGAATTCCAAGATAATGAGGCTTCAAGATTATTTTATTTGATAGGTTTTTGTATGTGTAAAATTGCAGAGATGAATGCAATGACATCGACTCACTCGTCAACCTCACATTCGCAACAAGGACATTGGAATATCATTATGACTTGATAAATGCAGTTGAATGATATCCAAGAGTGGAAAGGGGATCCCAACTGAAGAGGTTGAACAACCTGAAGGCAACATTCATCCAGGACAGCTACAACTACTGTGGAATCCAGGCTGCAAGAAAGTCAGCCACAACCAAGTACCTATAGGTAAGACAGGTCCTGAAGAGCCAGCTAAACGGCAAGAACAAAGTCCAAGCTATCCACGTGTATGCAATGCTGGTCATTAGATACCCAGCTGGTATAATAGCCTGCCTACGGAGGAGATGGAAGTCACCTGACGATGCATGGAGGGTTTCACCCAAAGTCCAGCGTCCTGAGACTATACACTAAGAGAAGAGAGGGAGGCAGAGGACTAATGAGTTTCTGAGTCACTATACAGATTGAAAAAAATAAAAATAATATCCTGGAGTACATTAGCATCAGCCAAATCCCCCACCCCTTCCCCTGATGAAGAACTGATGACTGAATGTCTAAGGCAGCAGCAGAAACCCAATGTGGAAGAAGTGAAACAAGAAGAGCCATCGTGGAAAAATAAACCCCTGCAAGACATGGAGGCTGGTTTTCAGTCTTTTACCGGGCACCTGATCGGCAGCACCTGAGGGTACAAAAAGCTCTAAACCAGTGTCAATCACAACAGCAAAATAAGCTGTTTGGCAGAAAATATTTGGCAAATCTTTCATCTGTGCAACCAACATACTCAACTCCACTAATCCCACAAATGCTTGTTTCTTAAAAATGTAGCCCCCTTTCAAAGGGAATCAAACAGATTTATTGCCAAGGAGCATTGTTACAACAAAGAATTATACTTACTTAATATAATTACCTTACTTTTTGTGCTAAGTATAAATGTGTGACTACACTTTAACAATCCTTTAGACCTAACTACCCTCACGGCTGTTCAATTTTTAACTCTCCAAGGACATGTAGTGTCTACATTTCTAAGAATTTACAATGCTTAACTACCTTTTGAATAGGACTGTCAAATCTCTGCCTGAACAAATATCTATTGTTTTCTTTCAACATGAATGACAAATAGCTTTAAAAGAATTCAACCTATAAAATTTTCATAACTTAAAGGTTTTTAGGAGCTTACTTATAAATTAATATAAAAAACGTGTAGAAGTCACAGAAAAAAATTTTTTATTGCACTTTAGAGGGAAAAAAACTGCTGACATTAGTGAATGTTTTTTTTTTACAGTAGACAAAGTCCACACAGTTGCTTTCCTCTGTGAGCGGAGCGGTGTTTGAGTGACAGCAGGTTGGACCAATGTCTTTGAGCTGTCTTATCTGAACAGAGATAAACCAGGCTGCAGCAGGGATGACGGTCATTTGCTCTGATCCACTGTGAGGATGAAGAGGCAGTCCACCAACCTTCGAGTGAGCCTACCAGTCTTTGTGATTGGAATCGAGGTGGTTTTTGTTGTCCTCTATGCGACCTTCGTCACCTATGATGAGCACACCGACGCTCGTTTTCAGACCAACCAGACTAATCCAATGCACAACACTGTGTACCAGGACTACCCCTTCTTTGCAGACATACAGGTCATGATTTTCCTCGGCTTTGGGTGCCTGCTGGCGTTTTTCCGGCTCTATGGTTTTGGGGGTATGGTTTTCAACTTTCTGACAGCAACTTTCGCCATCCAGTGGGCCATTCTTGTGCAGGGGTACTTCCAGTTCTACCAGGATGGAAAGATCCACCTTGGGGTGATCAACCTCATCAACGCTGAGTTTGCCTGTGCCGTGGTGCTCATCTCCTTCGGGGCGGTGCTGGGGAAGACCAGCCCGTTGCAGCTGCTGGTCATGGCCCTGCTGGAGGTGCCGGTGTTTGCGGTCACAGAGTGGGTCGTGCTGAAGTACCTGAGGATCAACGATGCAGGAGGGTCTATCCTCATCCATCTCTTTGCCTGTTACTTTGGTTTGGGTGTCACCTTCGTGCTTTATAGGTCTGGTCTAAGTGAAGGCCATGCGAAGGAGAACACCAGCTACTACTCTGACATCCTGTCCGTGATGGGGACCTTGTTCCTCTGGGTGTTCTGGCCATCGTTCAACTCGGCACTGACCCTGAAAGGAGACGACCAGCACAGGGCCATCCTGCACACCTTCATCGGCCTCAGCGCCTCCACACTCACTGCCTTCGCTCTCTCTGCGCTGCTCAACAAGAACGGTAAGCTCTCCATGGCCGATGTCCAGAACGTGACCCTGGCCGGAGGTGTGACGGTGGGAGCATCTGTGGACATGATGATAACGCCGGCAGCGGCGTATGCTCTGGGTATGTTGGGGTGCATTGCCTGCATGCTGGGCTACAAGTACCTGAGCCCATTCTTGGCCCGGCACTGCAGGATCCAGGATCAGTGCGGGATACATAACTTGCACGGGCTCACGGGACTCATTTCATGTGCGGCAGGGATATGTGCCATACTGATGGCTGATGAGGAGGTTTATGGTCCCAGTATGTATGAGATCTTCACCCATAGAGCACCAGTGGAGGGGAATCCAAAGCTGCATGAGCTCCAAATGTTGATCCCAGGTTTACGGGCAGGTTTGGGGAGGACTGCACGGGAACAGGCCTTCTTCCAGGTAGCAGCCCTGTTCTCCACCATAGGCCTGTCAGCGCTGGGAGGCATCATCACAGGTTATGTGCTGAAGTTGCCTTACCTCGCATCCCCTTCTGATGATTTTTGTTTTGACGACGTGCTCTTCTTTGAGGTTCCTCCAGACTATGATTCACCACTTCATCTCTGTAACAGAACTGCTACAGAGGAGTCTGCTGCTTAATGTGCTCCATCCAACAAATGTTTTCTGTCAAAACAATGTCAAACAGTTATTTTTACCAAATACCAGTGAATGTGCTGGCTGTGGATTACCCTAATGTTCACATTCATAACACTTATGTTATTATGCAACAGTTTCATCTATATTTCATGCTCTGTAAATATGTTGGTGTCATCCAGGACACAGTAAAATAAAAAATAAAAAATGGAAATTCTAAATTTTCAGTTCTTAAACTTCAGAAAATCCATAAATTCAGGTGTATTAGAATATGTAACAGAAATGATAAAAAATTAACTCAACTTTTTTTTTATCTCATTGACTTTAAATAGACGTATATATAATATTTAGTAACACACACAGCATTTCTAGGGGTTTATACATGCTTCACTTGTTTTTTTATATTTAACTGATTAAACATTTTGTTTACCACAAAATGATACTTTTACTAAATGACAACTTTTGTTGAAACAAAAGCCTATGAGGGTTTTTTTAAAGGAAAAGTCAAGATTTTAAGTTAACTGGGAGCTTTAAAGGGTTTGTGGTTTTGGTTTTATTTTGTAGTATTTCAAACTAAACTACATATTTTTACAAAATATTTCATCATCATTCAACCAAATGTGCAGCGTTATTCAGAGGTGTTCCTTCACCATGATGTAGCAAGAGAAAAAAATGCAATGACTAAAAACTGTTTTGTTATTTTACTGAAAGACCAACTTTTGTAACCTGATTAATATCTTTATGTTCTGACATAACATGGACTGCAATAAAACATGAAAAAATTGTTGTTGTTTAGCAATAACTTTTTAATGTAAAACTTATAATATTTTGATATTTTTTAGGATTTATTTCACATAAGATGATCAGGACACTGACATGACAATCCAAAAATATCAGGCCATGATCTATTTTTCTTCAGGCAGTGAGAAATTGAAAACAGATGATGACGGATAATTTCAAGAGCACTTTGCTACCAAACAGTTTATCTATACTTCCACAAAACATGAACCCACATAAAACAATTCCAGTTCAGTGCCCAGCCCAAAATGAGCGCCTGTGGTGATGTGAATGTGCACCAGAGCAGTCTGGTAAATTTGTGTCTCTCTCTGAATGTACAAGTGATGCTTTAGATTTGATAGAACAACATGCTGCCATCCAGTGGATTGTTTCAACACAGTAGATTTCACCAACACAGAGCTGAGAAGTAGCAGCCAAGTTATTTATTTCACTAACCTTAGTGGTGGAGGCCAAACACACACACACACACACACACACACACACACACACACACACACACACACACACACACACACACACACACACACACACACACACACACACACACACACACACACACATATATATATATATATATATATATATATATATATATATATATATATATATAAGAAAAATCTGGCATCATCGTCAATGTAATCATAATAATGTTTAGGCATTTAAGAGTCAAGTATAATATATTAGACATGAAAAATGACTTTTTTTCCTCAATGAACACTAATTTATTGTAGTATATTGCTGATTTGTTTTGTAAAACTAACTAACAAGTAATAATTATTTCATAGATTTTGTTTATTTTTCATAGGCGTAATCAGGTAAACTCGTACATACTGGGACTGTTTGTACTTCTGGTCTGCGGCCATGATCTGATGAAATGAACCTCCATTATGTACGTGTGCTGCAGTAGAAGTACCACTTAGCTCCAGTAGGAAGCAGTAACACGACACTAATTTCCCTGCTTCAGCGGAAAGCCACGAAGAAGAATACAACGACGACGGAAGGAGTGCGTCGTGCTAGAATTTGCTAATAATAGCAGCTAATAGTTGGGGCGGAAGAAAGCGTTATATAACGTCGAAATTTTTAACTTTTCATTGGCTTTGTGTGTTCAGCAAAGACAGAATCGTCGATACGACTCTCTTCAGCAGCACATTAGCCGTGATTTTTAGACTTTGGCACATCATTTCACCAATTTCAGACGGTAACGTCATTGTTTGCCAGATTACAGCTCGCTGCCGCGGAAATGTTCAGTGGCCATCTTGGCTCCATCTGAACTTAACAGGGTGTTCTTCAAACCGCTGTTGTATTTATTTCTAAGTAATGTTTTTGCGTTTATTCCGACTTCACTGTATGTTGCACGTTTGTTTGAGTCTGTATATTATCAAACCGGTTATCAAATTTAACTTGACTGAGCTACAATCGACATAGTTTGTGTGGCTAGTTAGCATTAGCTTTGTATCGAGTAAAACGCGTGTTTGTTGGACTTTGGTAGCCTAGATGGTTGTTTGGTTGTAGTTCGTGTTTGTAGCTGATAAAAACCGAAATGAGATAACATATCTCGTCTATGTAGTTACCAACAAGACGTTTTACGATTTTTCACATATTTATTCCTTGTGTTTTGTTCTTTACAAGGATCAACATGGCTGATGACTTTGACGTTGAGGCCATGCTGGAAGCTCCATACAGAAAGGTGGGTTGGAAGTTACAGAGATCAGGCCTGCAATAGTAATGTTTTACTCCTTTTGTTTAGACCTTTTTTAATTTGCTTTTGTGAAATAGTTCACTTGAATGTTGTTTGGTGTGATTGAGTATTAAAGAAGCAATACAGAATTATAAATAAATCCACATCTATCTCTCTTTATAGACTTCCCTAATGATATCTCACCTCTACTCCCATGAATTCATCTTTGGTTCCACTGTGAACTGTGAAAAAAAAGGAAGGTAGTTATTGCGCATATACTGATGTACTGTGGTTCACTTTAGGACTAAAAGAGATTCAACCTAGAACATCCAATCCCTATTCGGTTGCAACAAGGTGAATGCCAATGGTTGATGAGCCCATCTTTACCTGTTCAGCAAAGGAGGCAGTATTCAGATTTACCGTTTGTGTTTTGACACTGGTTCTTACATTAATGTATTTTTAAAGTACATCTTTCGTAAGTTTTGTGCATGACTTTCACATTTATGTAATTGTTTACCCTAGAAAAAAAGTGCAACGCTTTGCTTCCATGTTCTCAGATTAGTACTTGATGATTGGTAAGTTTTTGAACAACAAAACACAGCAAGCACTAATCACGTTGCTCACACACATCAGTTTTGTCCTAGTTGTGTAGTGTAGTACAACTTTATTGTAAATATGAATACTGCCTCTTTCAGCATCTTGATTTTATATTGCATGCTACACAACACATTCTATTCAGTAATATTTTAGTATTGCTGTAAACTACAACTTCTATCTAGCATAATTATATTATATAATTATGTGTTTTCAGTAGTTATTTCTTATGTCAAAAGGTTGTAAATAATAATGCAGACTACAGATAATTGTAGTGTAACTGGTGGCTGATTTGATCTTTTTATTTATTTTCATGGGCGTCAGTATTACTAAGAAGTGTGAATCCCTGTTTGCTTCAGGGCAAGATGTGTGACAGAGGTGGCATCGAGCTCTTACAGTCCAAGAACGAAAATGGGTGAAGATCACTGGACTGACACCGACCTCACAGGATCTCTTTTAGTGGCCATGGGCCATGTGTGGTCCCATGATTAGGCCCAAATAGTGGCATTGGTACGACCTGATAGAGGGGGAATGATGGAGAGGACCTGACAAATGTCAAAGCTTCATGAACTCTGCTAATATGTTGGACACTCCCTTAATTTTGCATTGTTGCATTAAGTATTGTGCAGCTTTATAAAAAAAACTGGAGTGGGATGGGAAGCTATTTGGGGTGGTAGAAGAAAACTTTGGGGACTTTGTAATTTTATTAATTGAAATATATTTTGCATTTTCTCTTGTCCCACCCCCACCCCCCTTTTTTTACCTTGACGACTTGAAATGTTTCATCTTCGTCCTCACGATGTTCTTCTATAAACCTTGCTTAGGATGAGAACAAGTCCTCTCATGCAAATGGACACGAGGAACACAGCAAGAAGTAAGACTTACACTCTGTTTAAATTCACATCCTCACTAGTAACTTTTTAGGGGCAAGATCGCATTTTCCTGAAACGGGTCTGGTGCTAATTTCCATCTCTGGCTATAACACGTTTCAGGAAAAGGAGGAGCAGGAGCCGGAGTCCAGGCTCAAAGAAGAAGAAGAGCAGGAGCCGGAGCCGAGACAGGAAGAAGAGTAAGAAGAGGAGCAAAAGCAAAGAAAGAAAACGCAGCCGCAGCAGAGAGCGCCATCGCAGCCGCTCCCGAAGCAAAGAACGATCGGGACGCTACAAAGCACGCAACAAGAGTCCGATGTATGTTACATTCTGAGTCTTAATTCATCCTTGTCCAAAAAAGTACATCTAATTTAACCCAACAAATTTTGTTTAAACAAAGATGAGGAGGTGAAGTTACGAAAAGGATGTCGTTTTTTAAATTCTTTGTTCTTTTTAGTTTTCTTTTGCATTAAAATAATTGCTAAAACGTGAAATGAAAAAACATAATTTTGTGATTTTTTTCTTTTCTTTTTTTGCAGCCGCAAACGCTCCAGAAGTCGAAGTCCTTTTAACAAAAAGGAGAAGAGTCCTGTTAGGTGAGATGGATAATCCTTCATTAACTTTTAGGACTATTTATACCTTTTAATAGTATCACTCCAGATATGACAAACTGTCAATCAACATTTTGGAGCTTGTCTTGAACATGTTTTCGTGTACAAATTTCACTTAAAAATAGTTTGTAATGTTGTCGCTGAGATTAAACTGTCTTTGTTTTATATACACATAAAGGCAACCAATTGACAATCTAACACCAGAAGAGAGGGATGCCCGCACAGTTTTCTGTATGCAACTTGCAGCAAGAATCAGAGCTCGAGATCTGGAGGATTTCTTCTCAGCTGTTGGAAAAGTCAGTTTTATTTCCTAAAACTTGTATTTTTTGTTTGAATTCTCCCCTGTAATCTCAGTGAATGGTATTTTCGTTCACAGGTCAGGGACGTGCGAATCATCTCTGACAGAAATTCTCGAAGGTCAAAGGGTATTGCATACATCGAGTTTGTAGAGTCGTCTTCTGTGCCACTGGCCATCGGACTGACCGGCCAAAGACTTCTAGGTGTGCCGATCATTGTCCAGGCCTCTCAGGTCAGTAATATCATAGCTCTTATTGTTAAAGCTTTAATTTAATCAGGTTGAAGTTAATATATTTATACACCTGTCCTTGTTATTTTCTCTTGGTGTAATGAAACTTTCTCCACTGATTTACAGGCAGAGAAAAATCGAGCTGCAGCTGCAGCCAACAATCTGCAGAAGGGCAGTGCCGGCCCGATGCGACTGTATGTGGGCTCACTGCACTTCAACATTACTGAAGAAATGCTGCGAGGGATCTTTGAGCCTTTCGGAAAGGTTAGAAATAAGTTTCATGTAACACATGATTTATTCATGTCGATTATTTTTGTAACCGTTACTCTGATGTATTGTTTTTAAAGATCGAAGGGATCCAGCTTATGATGGACAGCGAGACTGGGAGATCCAAAGGTTATGGTTTTATATCTGTAAGTGACGCTTTTTTTTTTTATTCCACTGCAGTTTGTCGCTTTTGTTCACTCTAACCTTGTCAAATTCTGAAGTTTGCAGACGCAGAATGTGCAAAGAAGGCTTTAGAGCAGCTGAATGGCTTTGAGCTGGCTGGTCGTCCTATGAAGGTGGGGCACGTTACAGAGCGCTCTGACTCATCAACAGCCAGCTCATTCCTGGATAACGATGAACTGGAGAGAACTGGTATTGACCTCGGCACAACAGGGCGCTTACAGCTTATGGCTCGACTAGCAGAAGGTTTGTTGCTTGTCAGAATCAAAGGATTTCATTTTGTTTCCCAGAATGCATTTACGGACTTATTGAAATTGTAATGTTAATGTGATTTTTTTTTCTCCTCCCTCAACAGGAACTGGCCTGAAGATCCCTCCTGCTGCTCAGCAGGCTCTACAGATGACCGGCTCTATTTCCTTTGGGGGTATGGCTACTCCAGCAG